AGACAGAGCGACGCTTTCTTCTGCCATATTCGTTCATTTTGTGCAAAAACACGTCGAACGAGCCTAATAATTTTTAGATTAGACGTAAGAAGGCTAAACTTAATATTTATCAAAGTGAAGTTTCAGTCTCTCCCTTCAGAGAGTGAAATGTATTCACTCTCCACATAGATTGAAAATTGGCTCCCATTTGGAGTGATTTTTCACTCTCTAAGAGTGAACATTTCACTCCTGTCGGACTGGCGTAACTATCACTCTTTGTGATAGTTTGGGAGTGAAATTTCACTCCCAAAAATTTAGAGTGTAGTCTTTAATAAATATAATTTGTTTCTCTTTCTAATTTTATGTCTACTTTAAAGCCTTTATTTTACATGTTACTTTTTATTTAATTGGCTCGTGGCTATTCTTAAATTTATTCTACTTTTTAATTAATATCTTGTTAACTATTGCGAAAATTGCAAAATGGTAGGGGACTTTTCGACTCTATTTTAGTCTGCTCTATCTACACAAAAGTGATTGGCAAAAAAGGTCGGATCACTGTATATACTGTTTGATTTTTCTTGATATTAACCATCAAGACAGATTTATTAATCGCGGGCACACTAATCGGGGATACACAAATGCGGACAAGTACACAAATTCGGGGCACATTAATATGGGCTCCTTCGAGGGGCAGACTAATAGGGACAAAAACATTGTTTTTATTTTTATTAAAAACGTTAAAAAATAATGTTTTACATTAAAAAAATGTTATAAGGAAAAGGAATAGTTGAAAAACTGATAAAGATTTTAAACAGACAGATAATTAAAGCTACAGTAATTAATAATTAATTCAAAAATTAACAAATTGGCTAAAAGGTACACTAATTGGGACAGTTACCCTAGGTGCAGCCAAATTTGAGATATTTACGAAAATGGAAGAAATTTACGTAACGTTCGAAAATAAGAGATCAAAAAATGTATCTCGGGAACTATTGGTCGTACGAGATTTATTAAAAAACGAAATTATGGGGAATTTTATCAATTGTTTTCGAACTGAACGTTAATTTCCGTACAACGAATAGTTTCTGAGATATTTGCAAAAAGCCAATTTTGTGCGACATTTTTTTCAAGATGGCGCGGCCGTGCCCTTACACACATGGGAGTTTTGATATGTTAAAAAAAATACTATTATAGACTTCTATGCAAAAATTCAGCAGAAACTTTTTCCTTCTTAAACTCTAGTTTTCCTGGGCTATAAATAGAGACAATATCTTTATTTTAGACCGTATATGTGAGAAATACAATCAATACTAGAAATTAAAAAATGCCTACGGTCGAAGCTCGATCTTCGTTGCTTAAATAATTCAATCTTGAATTACTAATATATACTATATATGTACTTGCACATATATCATATTGTAGTCTTTTTCAAACTGCGCGCCGAATTATTTTTCTGGACTAAATAAACGCAATTAAAACTACTCTAGCAATCGCGAAATAAATTAACAAGCAATTATCCGGGTTCAAGTCCCGGTCGAGGTAATATTTTTCGCAATAAATTTATTAACAGCTTTATAATATATGATGCTTGATGGTAGCACCAAATTGTTTGTCAATTTATTTCGCGATTGCTAGAATAGTTTTAATTGCGTTTATTTAGTTCGGAAAAATAATTTGGCGCGCAGTTTGAAAAAGACTACAATATAGAATATATGCAAGTACATAGTATATATTAGTAATTCAAGATTGAATTATTTAAGCAACGAAGATCCAGCTTCGACCGTAATAGGCATTTTTTAATTTCTACTATAAATAGATATATACGCGTTTGAATGAGATAGAACGATAATGTAAGAAACTGAATTATATATCATTATTATCGATATCTAGAGACACTGATAGTGTCTCGGCGCTAAGCTGTGCGAAGCGACACTGCCGTGCCTCCTTTACCGACGAGTTGCGGCAGATCGAGATTATCGGATCTCAATAACGGCTGAACCGATCGCGTTCTATGTATGCTCAATCGATAGCCACCACACGGATTGTATGATAAAAGTGCTTTTATTTTTTTTTCTACGTGCCATACGAGCGGAGATATCGCGACGCAAAGTCCGGTCTGTGATGAATTTCACCTCATTTTATTTTAAGAAACGTCGTCGTCATTATTATTGTCGTTATTATTATTATCATCGTCGAACCAGGAGAAAATGTCTATCTCGTTTTTTCGACAATAGAGGACTTTTGACTTAACCTAGCGATGGCAGCATTGCACATTCGAACGTAATCAACCACACATGACGGCTGTGATAATCAGCGATGGCAACATTGTCACATATACGATGTGACGTGTTATAACCATCGACATCTAGAATGGACCACTGATGGCAATGGTGGGGGTAGAAAGACGATTAGAATGAGAGGCAGGAATAATAAAATCGTTCTTTCTCTGTTTATGAAGGCGTCTAAAAAAAAAAGGTCGAACGAAAGAATCCTACTCCGAGAGGAATGGAAATATTTATACACGAATACTTATTTTGGTATTCTTCATTTCTTTATTGCGAATGTAGTTCGTCGAATGTTATTTTTATTTATAAATTCATTTATAAGCTCGTCTAGCAGAAACCGCGAATTTTGAGCGGCTCGTAAAAATATACCCTTACTCGTTAAAAATTTAGATTAACTGTAACTCGACATGTGTGGAAATTCAATGTCAAATTCACATGTGTGGAGTCCTCCATCGTTCCACATACAGATCGCCGCCCCTGGCCCCTTAAGGCTTCTGGGTATCTTGAGTAGTTATAACTGCGGCTATATTGGATCGTGATATAAACGAGAGCCAACACGTTGAAATTTTTTGTTATTTTTAAATAAAGAATTTGACTAAAACAAAATAATGAAATCGCTTTAAAAATACTTGCAAAAATGGGCCATAGCTATCCTTGTTCCCCTTTTTGACAGTCAGTAAATAATCATAAAAAACAGTAAAGTGCGTTTATCAGCGTTTAATCCAGATTTTCCTAAATTCCTAAATTCCATAACTTTTTCCTAATTTTCAAACAAAATTTGATAAATTTCCCTAATACTTTCAATAATAATTTGCAATTTTTTGTATTTTTATCCTGATTTAAAAATCGCTAAATATTTTATTGAGAGAGTAATTTGACATAGAGAGAGCAATGTAGATCATTATTAATGCTTCCACTTAAATTGGTAATATTCCAAAACTACGTAAAAATGTCATATACAGGGTGACTCATTTTAACTTAGACAGCCAAATAACTCGAAACATCGCGATTAAATAAAAAAATGTTTAAAACAAAAATTGTTGGATATGAAGGGGCTGATTGAACTATGACCTTGACAATGACCTTGACCTTCATTTTTAAGGTTATTTGAAGGTCTACTTTCAATTTTCAAATAGAAACCCATATTTTTGATCCCGGATTTTAAAAAAGCGCAAAATTTTACGTTCAGATGAACTTTCATGTTATGGGTCAAAGTTGACCATAGAGGTTATTTCAAAGACAAATCGAAGCAGAAAGCCAAAAAATCTAGATTTTTCCCGGTTAGTGTTTGTGAGAAAAATCTCTTCACCGAGGTAAGTAGCCAGTTCTGTGTTAGACCCCTTGGTTGTCTAGGTAAGTGCGAACCAACAAACAGCCCAACTCACGCTAGGTCGATTTAGAGGAAATTACTTTTATCCCCAGCATAAAATTTTATTAAAAATCCCCACTTGACCTTGAAATGGTCATGAAAATATGGGTTCAAGGACATTGTCAGGATCATGGTTTGGTCTCCCCTCGACATCCAACAATTTTTCTCACAAACACTATCCGGGAAAAATCAAGTTTTGGCTTTCTGCTTCGATTAGGAATTTGTCTTTGAAATGACCTGTATGGTCAACTTTGACCCATAACATGAAAGTTCATCTGGACGTAAAATTTTGCGCTCTTTCAAAATCTGGGATCAAAAATATGGGTTTCTATTTGAAAATTGAAAGTAGACCTTCAAATAACCTTGAAAATGAAGGTCAAGGTCATTGTCAAGGTCATAGTTCAATCAGCCCCTTCATATCCAACAATTTTTGTTTTAAACGTTTTTTTATTTAATCGCGATGTTTCGAATTATTTGGCTGTCTAAGTTAAAATGAGTCACCCTGTATATTAAATTTCTTTAAAACCAAGAATTTTATAGTAGATTCGGCAGACTGCACACTGAGTACAAACTTTTTCAATGCCACATATTCTATATAACTTAAATAATAACTTGTGCGCACTATATCAGTGCGTTCAGATTATCGTATTCGACAAATGAAAACTGACCCAGTGTAGTGCTGAATTTATATTCGGACCAACCGAATGAACTAAACGAATTCAAGAAATGTTGCACTGATGTTTCTGACAGTGCAGTTTGGCATAGCACCAAAATGATTCTGCACTCGCACCATATCAGGGCAGTACCAGAGCAGAGTCAATGCACATGCCGAACTTGCCATTAATTTCCCAGAAAATTTTGTAAAATTCCCCAATGTTTCTCTGATCATTTTCATTTTCTTTGACATTTCTCTGATTTTCAGTTTTGTAACAACCCTATTAATACGCATGCGTAACCTATTTTTACTTTACATGTCTTATGACTATTTATTGACTGTCGGGGAGGGGTAGGTATAAGGATAATTGGCTCATTTTTACAATGAAGTGTTTTAAGGCGATCTCATTATTTTGTTTTATCCAAGTTCTCTTTAGGCCGGTATTTTATTTACAAATGACATAAAAAAACTTTAACATAACATTTTTCACTTATGATATTATAATCCTATATGGCCTCGCGGCGACTACTCAGGCTGCGTTCAAGAATTACACCCAGATAACTCTAAGCTATTCTAAGCTATAGGTTACATTACGTATATCATAGCAAAAATGCACCCTAGAGGTATCTAGGCGTAATTCCTGAACGCAGTCCAGAAGTTTTAAGGTAAAAATTATCTTGATAAAGATGATAAAAAAAAAGGAGAAGGATAACTAAAACCAACAAATATTTACCTTATAATACTTCAGCACAGCTAGCTTAACCTTCTTCTTCTTGTGCTTGATTTTCTTAGGGGTAGAATAGTTCTTCTTCTTTCGTTTCTTGGCACCGCCTCGCAAGCGCAGCACTAAGTGTAAAGTAGATTCCTTCTGGATGTTATAGTCCGACAAAGTTCTGCCGTCTTCCAATTGCTTACCGGCAAAGATCAATCTCTGCTGATCTGGCGGAATTCCTAAAACAGTAAAATATCCAGTTTAGAAATTGACAGTAATTTATAAATATTAGTTTACATTAATAAAAATGTATATGTCTATCACAATTTTTTCCATCTATCAAACATTTATCAGACGCTTGGGTGAACACAGATTTTTATCCACATTTCATTGAGGGTAAAAATATAAAAATATTAATTTTGGTTTTTTCTTTTTCATATAAAAATAGTACAATATCACGAGAGTTTAAGATTAAATTTCAAATGAATGAATGCAATTTTGTTTTTATTTAATTTCAAATAAATTTTGTTTAACGATCAATTTAATAAATACTTCTGATAATTTTTCAAGATCAATTTGTTCTGTAAATCGACAATTTTCTTACCTTCCTTATCTTGAATTTTTGTTTTAACATTTTCGATCGTGTCCGATGCCTCAACTTCAAGGGTGATAGTCTTCCCCGTAAGAGTTTTCACAAAGATTTGCATGATTAGCGATTCTATAACATATCACATTAATTATGTATTTCAATTAGCTAAATTAAACTTAAGGGGATCCTAAAGACTATTAGTAATATATTAAAAATAGCATTTACGCAGACGATTTACGTGTCATTAACACATCACTACATCAATATCTCACTCACGCACGCCACACATATACAATTAACGTTTTAAAAAATTACATTTTACACAAATTACGTTTTAATTAGATGCCTAAGTACAATTAGAACTCCATACTGTTTCTTTATGCAAACTACTAGTCTGCGAATTATTATTTCGTAAGTATAGATTGCATAGCTTTTATATGAAGCAAATATTGTCACGATGTGACAGTTCTGGAGCGTAATATTGGACTAAGAAATGGTATAAAAATCTCAATTTCGAAATTTTTTGTCATTCTCAGCATAGACTCCATCTCATAGACACGTATTAATGCGTATACTTTAATCCTGGAAACGGATTTTCAAATCAGTAAGAGGAAAAAAATAATTGTTATACAAAAATTATATGATTTAATCAGTAATACAGATGACTTTAAGATCCCCTTAATACAAATTTCGAGAATTGAATTTGAAATAGATATTAAGAAATATTCTAAAACTTACTTCTGCTATCGTCATGTAAATACAATAATAAAAAAAAGGAAAAAAATTTTTAATCCCTCAGACTATCGAAAATTAAACAATTAGAACTTAGACTAATGAGAGTAGAGCACAAAAATTATAGCGCCATTGATCTTTAAATAATTGTAATATTAAAATATTTAATTTTATTGTACACAAAGTTCATCTTTTTTTGACTTGATTTGGAATCTATTTCAGCGAAACATTATTCTTCAGAAACTATGGTACGTCCTTTATTCATTACAGATAGCCACTAGTGGACTGGATAAGCCAAAGTGCAACTATTTGGTTGGAAATTTTCAAACAAATTACAATATATGGTACAAGCTTTGAGAGGCCGGTGACCCACAGATAAGTGTTTATACCCATTAAAATAATAAATAAACCGTTAAACTTTAAGGAAAAAGAGCATCAATATTTTGATCATCAAGAATTTAATGCAAAATTTTGATGTTCTCTCCTTAAAGTTTAACTGTTTAAAGAATTGGAAAGAGTAAGGGCACTAGGAGTCGGGCGCAGAAGACGTCGCGCAAATAATACACTTATAAAGAATGAAACTTCTTTATTCACTAAACGCGCTTACATGTTTCGACTCATTTTTTAGCCTTCCTCAGAGCAAACACACATTAACATATATAAAGTAAAATTATCCTATCATGTGAGCTCTCCGAAAATAGGGACGCTCACCACGATTACAAAGTACCGTATCGCAAACAATATTATGAATAATTCAAGAACCGGTTCCTGATATGTTGACCAGTCGGTATCAGACACAGTGAGTCACTTTTTTAGTTATTAGCTAGTACTAATGAAAATTGTAAAATTTTGTTTATCATTTTACAATTTTCATTAGTACTAGCTAATAACTAAAAAAGTGACTCACTGTGTCTGATACCGACTGGTCAACATATCAGGAACCGGTTCTTGAATTATTCATAATATTGTTTGCGATACGGTACTTTGTAATCGTGGTGAGCATCCCTATTTTCGGGGAGCTCACCATGATAGGATAATTTTACTTTATATATGTTAATGTGTGTTTGCTCTGAGGAAGGCTAAAAAATGAGTCGAAACATGTAAGCGCGTTTAGTGAATAAAGAAGTTTCATTCTTTATAAGTGTATTATTTGCGCGACGTCTTCTGCGCCCGACTCTTAGTGCCCTTACTCTTTCCAATTCTTTGATTTGTAAGGAGTCTTGATTAGTTTGATTTATTAACGGATTTAACTGTTTATTTATTATTTTAATGAGTATAAACACATACGTGTGGATCACCAGTTTCTCAAATATGATTGAAAGCTTGTACCATGTACGGATATACACTGTTATAATGTTAGGCATTATTCGACAGCTCATCATTAATCAGTTTCTATGTAAGTTTTTAATTAATTGGATTATAATTAACGCCTAAACGGTCTAGCTGGATCTTAATGCTTGTATGATTCTTATGTGAATTTATATACTACGTGTGTAATCCTCAGAAACGCGCGCCGAAATGATTTTTCGGTCTTAACTCTATTAATATAAACTACCGCAGTAATATCACAAGTTAGATTGACTAGCAATTTGACTCGTAATATTACTGCGGTAGTTTATATTGACTAGCAATTTGACTCGTGGTATTACTGCGGTAGTTTATATTAATAAAGTTAGCGTTTTAAGACCGAAAAATCATTTCGGCGCGCGTTTCTGGAGATTATACACGTAGTATAAATTCACATAAGAATCATACAAGCATTAAGATTCAGCTAGGCAGTTTAGGCATCGATTTCTACAGTTTGTGTTATCACATATATGATCCTATAATATATTATATTGGATTATAATTAAGATAGCTAAGTTAATTCGTTGACATTTCAGTTTATTGCTTGACTCACGAACTAAGTATTCTGATACCAAGACGTTTAAAATTTTTTCTTGGACTTTTATAATTTCAAGCATGTTCCTGACGTACTTTGGGATATCTTACATACCGTACTACTTTATTAGTGTAGTGTAATGGTTGCTTATTTCTGTTAATTCGTCAGCTAAGTACTAATGATAACCCAAAATTAAGGATCAAAAGATCAAATCTACTTTCTTATGTTAAAAAATTTTACACAATAATTGTTGTAAATTATATTTAAGTATCTGAGCGACGTGTTGTCATACACTGACGTGAGTTTGAAAATGTGTGATTTTATTCAATTTTATTACATCCAACTTTATTGATGTTTAATATGTCTAACATTGCTTCACGACACGCTTCATGTTCCGTGATGATTAACATCGCTACATCTTTGTCAATTTGCGAGTAACTTAATCATTATGGAGCTAATTATACTTGTAATATCATTACTGAGGACTCCAAAGAGAGTCCAAACGTACAAATATAGAAGACTTCAATCTAACAGCTGAATATTGATTTCACTAAACAATTATTGATTGCCATTTATCGTTGCTTGACTCTCATTAGCCTACTTTATTTATATTTTTATGCAGTTTTATATTTAAATAGAAATATTTTTCAATAAAATATTTTTAATCGATAGAATAGACTTATAAAATATACTAAAAATATATCTTTTGTTTTAAAGAAAACAAATCATCCCTCTCCTCCCTTTCTCTCTTCATTTATATAGAGCAGTGGTCGCACGGATTTGCACATTTCGGACCGATTCTGGCGCGCGACCCCCACCACCGCACGGCCGAGCCACCGGGCGGTCACGTGACGCTCTGACTCAGGGCAGAGAGGTTTCTCTCTGACCGTCTCCCACGGTCCTCTCTCTCATTATTGTCGACCACATTTGATACACTACTTAGATCACGCAGTCCATTCTCTAT